TGAGGTTTCTCCCATTTTTCCCTTTTAAACTGTGGGTTTTCTCTGGAAGTTTTTCCTTGTACGATGTGAGGGTCTAAGGACAAAGGGTGTCGTATTGTCATACTGATATTCTGTACAAAATGTGAAGTCCACTGAGACAAATGTAACATTTGTGATATTGGGCTATATAAATAAACATTGATTGATTGATTGATTGATAGTGGGGGGGTACTGTAGCGACCCTGATAGGAGGCTGAGGGTGTCAATCAGGCATCCCCCGTCTCTTGGCCAATCACAGAGCTGCACAGGATGCTGGTCTAGGTGCGGGCCTGTGGTTGAGCGGACGGGGGAGGGCGGGGAGGTTGTGACGTAGACACTGGTATATATAGGTGTGTGTGTGGAGAGAGGGAGTGTGTAAGGTGTAAACCCCAAGCTGTACCTGTTCCTGAATCTATGATCCTAAGAAATAAGAGTTATTAAAGCCTAATAACTAGAAGCCTGTTTCCGACTCCCTCTGTGAACGTTACACTATGTTGAAAAAAAGTGAAGACACGACATAGCATATTGTGTCAAAATAGGACATGATATGCTATGTCGAAAAAAATGACAAAAAAGTCAGTCGTGAAAACTTTAAAATGATAAAAAAACATCGTATTTTGTGTCGAAATAAGGCACGTTATAGTGTGTAGAAACCAGGTGTAGTATATTTTTGTCGTTAGAAAAAGTCATAGTTTATGAAAAAATACATGGTATTTTTTAGATAAGGGTCCTCCCTTATATAACTATTATTATTTTTTAGTTACCCCTTATATCACTATTTTTTATTTGTGTTAAGGGTCCCCCCCCTATGACAGGAACTTACTTTTTAGATAACGGCCACTATATAAATATAGCATATTGAAAAAAAGTAATAGTATACTATGTTGAAAAAGGTTAAAAAAAAAACGAGATATAATGTCGAAATAAGGCAAAGTATAGTATGTCAAAATAAAACATGATATCGTATGTCGAAGAAAGTGGGGGGAAAGCATAATATCGGATGTCGAAAGAAATGGTTGAACTGTCGGCATTGAAGTGTCCCTCACGTGAGCCTTAAAGATGAGAGACTTACGTTTTGCGAGGCCAGAGAGAGGACCAGCTGCGGCAGGATGTCCTCCCGGACCACGGCCTCAGCCAGCGAGTCGCTGTGGTCGGCCAGCCGGCCCAGAGCCAGCGCGGCGGTCTGCTGGATCCCGGGCACACTATCCAGCATCAAGGGCCGCAGCAGGGTCATCACCCCTGCCGGAGAGGAGAGGATTACACCCTGGGAACAGCAGCCACATCTGACATGTCTTAGTGGTTATTATCGTGTTTCTCTTACCAGCATTTTGAAGCATTTCTATGTTCTGTGGTCTGGCTGCCAGATCAGCGACCGTTTGCACAAACTGCATCCTTGACTTCTGATACTGCTCAAAAACTGCAAACATACACAAGCAAACAGTTTGACTTGAAGCTGCATTTTCCTTCTTTTTTCTTATTAAAAAAACTGCTCGTGCATCTTACCTTGAATTATCTGTCGTTGACTCATTGTTACCCTGATGGAAAATGTGTATTTTAGTAAGAAAATGCAGGTTATTTACACAGAAAACGGATTTAATGAACACAGTGATCAACGCAGCGTTTCTCCTGATGGTCTCCAGGTTTGGTTTAGGTAGTGTTGTTAGGTGTTACCGTGACAACAGACAGGAAGTAGAATGTTCCGTGCCAAAGATCGTCTATTGACAAGATGACTCACCCTCTGAAAAACGTTCAGTGTGTTTCTGTTGTTACCGCTGACTACAACATTACTTTCACCACTTTTACAAAGGGAAAACACGAGCTTCTGGTTTCCTACAGTGAAACGTGTTAGCTCATTTTAGATTTTAGCAGAATGTAATTGTCAAGCGATTCAGAAGTAGCCTTAGACCTACAAATATGGGAGAAATAAGCACAAAGAAGGGATTTTTCTCTGACTTGAACTCACTCAAAAAGTACAACATTTTTGTTGACACGTGAACGTGGATGCATAGCCTGCACGATTCTCATTGGCTGTTATCACTGTCTCTCATACCATACGGTAACTCCGTCAACCTATAACGTTTGCCATCGATTTTGCATGAAGGCTTTTTTAAATATGGTTAATCTCCAAACGTAAACTTTAAGTTAAATCTTTTTGCTGGTTTCGTTATCGCATCCATTGGTCTGTTGGCCATCGTCCACATTTATTTTATTGTTATTCACAGTCTACTTCAAAGACATACTACGTTATGTCAATATGTTTACACCTCGGTCTGCAAAAATAAACCTTATCAATTTTATAGGCTATGACAATATGTGATTCGTTTTGATATCGGAGTAGCCTACATATTATTTGGTAAGCTTTTTTTTACATTGTCACAGCAAACAAAGCAGAAGAAACCACTGAATGGCTGACTGAAAGCATGACAATTATTTAATTGTAATAGGATTAACATTGTATGCTCATGACCTATACAGGTTTAGTTTTTATTTATAGGCTGTATTATTATTTTTGCATTAGATGAAATGCGAAGATTCCGTTTGAGGTCATTGTGTTTTTTAACCAAGGATAAATTATGACTTAAACATAAAATATCACTCCGTTGGTGCGCAAACGGGATATATATTTTTTCGTTTTTCAAAACATTGCAGACATTTAACACGTAGGGCCTATCTGAATTATTATGTGTGCATAAGTATTTTTGAAGCTCTGCGGCACGGCTTGTTCTACTTTAATATTTAATATACTTTATTATTTTGGTTTTATTGGAAAGCTAAGTCTTCTTCGGTTAAAAAAAATGCAACTGTGTTTACTCGTTTTTAATTTTGAAAATGTCATATCAATTAATGAATGTAAAAAAGTACTTATCATACTTTTAGCGTACAAGCTAATATTGCTTGAAATGTATAAAAAAGAAAAGAAAAGGGATAGCAGCGTTATTTCACAATAAAAAAATCGCTGAGGTTTCATTTCGGAATTAAAAAAATAAATGGTAGCCTTTTAAAATAAAACAGTTGGTTATCTTCTATTGAACCTGTATTTCAGTGCAGTAAAGGCAATTACTCATGTGATAAATCATCCAAACAAAACAAAAATCAAAAAGGCTTCAGTCTTCATTAAATGTATTCAGATTGTATCCCAGGTCAGCCTCTTTAACCGAGTTATCTCATTCACATAGACATCTGGCGCTCTGCAGCCTGCACACTCCAATCACGCCTTTATTTGTTAATGCTAAACACCACACAGATGATCCTGCACCAAAATAAAAAGAAGATACCACTAACCTCTTAAGTGTAAAATGTTTTATTTAGATGTTTTATACTGTGCAACAGTAACAATACAATAAGTTGTCCATACAATCGAGCGATACAAATACGGAAAACACAGGGGACATCAAAACATCTGTCGATGAATGTAATGGAACTGAGCCCAAGTCATTCGCAGAACAAAGGGGGAATAAGAGAATAACATTATCGCTGATTAAATATGCATTTTGTTTCTATTTACATGTGGATTCTCTAAAATTGCTAATAACACGATAAAGCAATCCGATCCACTGCAGCTACAAGAAACTGTTTTTTATTAAAAGGCAATTTAAAGTTGTGTTTCCTCCAACAGCCCGAACAAACTCCAATATCGACGCCATACTTCCAAAAAACCTTTGAGGGGCAAACACGCAGATTCCCCTTCATACGAGAAAGGAAATGTTATCATGCATGTTCAAACTGACAGCTTCAAAATATCCCGACACACATGACATAATCATGATTGACACTGAAAACAACGTAAAAGAAAATATAAAAGTCCATCTTCAGTCGATTCTGTAAAATAAAGATGTAGCTTTAAAATGGGATAAATGCTTCTCTCCAACCTCCTTTTTTTCCAACATCAAAACCTGCTTTTTAAAAACATTCCCACCGTCTTCCTCTTTCCTTTTATTCTGAAATGTCTCTGATTCCACTACGTTTACATGATGCCATAATATTTAGAACAACAAATGGAGAGGGAAAGGTCTTCACAACGCGCGTCACCCGGAGGAGGTGGCGGATCCGTTCAGGGTCACGTTCCGGGGCTTGTTGCTGCCGCCTCCGCCGAACTGCGTGAAGGACCGGCTGGGGGTGGGAGGAGGGGCCGCCGGGGTCCCGTTAACCGGGAGCTGCGGGAGCTGTGGGAGCTGCGGGAGCGGGGACTGCGCCGGTGTTCCGGGGCTCGGCAGCGAGGAGGAGGTGGACGGAGCTCCGGAGGGACTCCCGGCCTTGTCGCTGGCAGAGTCGCTCTCTGGACCGGATCTGCTCGCGCTGTGCTGGCCCTCCTGCTGCGCGTGGCTCACCTTCATCTTTTTGCAGCTGGGTCGGACTCTGTACTTCAGCGGCAAGGGGCCATTCTGTGGGGAAGGAAGGAGGTAATTCAATATGTAAACGCATAAAAGCAATGACCTAAACAAATGTTTTGTTTTTGAAACAGCCTTAAGAGAGATTTAGATAAATACGTAAAAAACCTCCCCTGTTGATAACTTACTTTAAGACAAATATATGTTTTAATTAAAACCAAATGCATGATATAAATAGCCCTTTTTATTGAGCCTTACAAGTCTGTATTAGTGTGAACAAAAGTGAACTGGGTTAATAGATATTACCATGAAACTTCCTCAGTTGATAACTCTAACTAGGTCATTTCTTTTACGTTTCCAAATTCATGCAAATGCAAAACATTATCGAATGCTAACTTTACATGCATTTAAGGATAAATCCACACCCGTTAAAAGATAACGAAATATAAAATACTAAATGTTTATTTTGGATGTTGTCCTTTCACAAGTCTGAAAGAATACTTTTTGTTGCAGCAAAATAGCCAAACATCGCTGGATTGACCAGTGCAAAAACATGCGATGGAGTGCCTCACCGTGATAAAACAAATGAACTCCGAATGTGCATCTTCCAAACAACCTAATTCAAAGTGTATTCCAATGATGTAGATGTGTTCATTTCGGTGTCCCAAAACATCCATGACCAAGTCAAACACTCTAGGCCTTATTCCAAAAAAATAATAATCAACCAAACTAAATAAAAACGTCCACAAATATATTCTCAAAGACAGATGAAGCACCTTTCTCTTGTCTTAGTAACACTTTTTGAAATGCAATTTCAGGTCATTTGTTTTGTTCCAAATGTTGGAGAATAACCTACATCTAGGCCTACAACCCAAATAAAAATGTTGGGATATATATATAATGGTTTACCCTCCCTCATCAATCAGCAATCATACAGTCTATATTTTTAGATTTAAAGACAATTGAAAATATGTTTTAAATTGACCACATAGTGTCTTGCCCATGGTAAAACAAAAGGGTGGAAACCCTTTACAAACAGACCAGTTTGACCTCTGTGCAGTCTTTTACTATACAAACAATCTAAAGGTCTGATCTTAAATGTATTTATTACTCAAAATATAATTTATATAGACTATTTTTAAGATCAACAATGTACATAATTGTTTTAACAACAAATAACAAGGTGTTTAAATGCATGCTCCAGCTGATAAAACATGATCATATTTAATATTTATTTGACAACGTGGATCACTTAAAATGACTAATTAACATATCACACATAACAGGATTTATTTGCTGTTAGTTAGACAACATAAATGTAAATAAACCAACCAAAATCAAGTATTTTTCATCCCCAAAAGATCTCTTACCCGTCTCCAAGTGTAGATATATGCTATATCCATTAATGTGTAGTAATCTTTCAGAGGCTCGTCTTCATACATGACTTCAACCTAGAGAAAACATTAAAAAATTAAAAAACAGTGCATATAGGTAACATTTTTTAAATAGGAATTATAATATTGCAAACCCCTCGGATCGACAGATTTAAATTAAAGTTTGAATTATAGCAGTGCATTGTTCATAATAAATAAAAGTGTTTAAATGGTGACCTGGTAGGCGTTCGGGATGTCCATCTTGCTGCGCAGGAACTTCCTCAGGTGCATCACTGTCATGGCTGCCGGACACTGCAGGTACCTCTTGTTAGCAATCTGCAGAACAATGTTAGACACAAAAGGAATAAATATCTGTACACAAGTGTAATGAGCCTGGTCCACCTTAACAGCAGAAACATTGAAGCCCTTTCTCAAGAGGAAACAATGTGTGTAATGTGTCAGAGTTCACAACAGAGGGGAGGCATTGTTACTCATGAGTTGCTTTCTTAAAAAGGAGTCTGAGGTGTTAGATTTTTATTTTGCTCACAAGAAATAATGCTGGCGGAGAAGAGAAGTAACTTACCACATTCTGATCTTTACTCGGTTTGTCCTCCACTGTTCCTCCCAGTCTGCAAGGAATACAAAAGAGAGAATATTAGGACTTTAAAGGTCTGTGATGTTATGTTATTCATGTGCCAACATCAAGGCCTGCATGCAATAAAACAAATTGATTGTAAGCAATAATTAACAACACATATTAAAATGTAAAACAAAAAAAGATCTACAGTTGGATAAAAAGTGCACTTTATAGATTTATTTCCTTAAAACTATATTTGACATACATAGTAATTGTTGTATTTTTCTTATGACAGCAATCCTTAAATAATGTTAAAAAAAAACATAAAATTAAAGGAAATAATAATAAAAAAAAGAATAATTCAATAAAACCCATTTAAC